GCTCAAATGCTCTTCATTTTATCTTGTTTTTAAATTACTAAAATACTTGGGAATTTTTGTTTTACAAGACAATTTATCTCATTATAATTACCCTTTTCTTTTTTAACTTTTATTTTTTTATGTACTTTCTTTTGTTAGCTTATAATATAAGATATTTTGCTTTTTATAATAATGTAAATCAAGCTATTATAGACAAACATGGTTGATGGTGGCAATGATTTGTTAGTTCAATGTAAATGTCTTCAAGAGAAAATTGAGGAAAATGAGCAAGAAGACATGGAGTTTTTTTTATTGTTTATGAAGTTTTTTCTTATACTTGTTGTTATTTGTCATTGTGGTAAGCATAGGTATAGACTAAACCAACAGATTTATTCCTTATATAACAATAATAACATCTAGATTTTACCTTTGTTGATTGCAAAAATACAATTAGTTGTAATAAGTAAAGTTGCACTCCCAAAACATGAGTTTGTTAAGTTGGCTCAAAATGGTCTGGATATCAAGCACTAAAAGAAATTTGAGAGGATGAAATTTTGAGACTTTTATAAATTGTCTTACAAAGTATCTCAATATAAAAATCTGCTAAAGGAAGACATTCAAAAGAAGGCTGCATCACATGGAACCTATTATAGTGACCTTAATTTTGATCTTGATATGGCTGAGGTGATTATAGACAAGCCTATTATTTGTCCAGACCTTGTTTGACCAACTCAATAGCCTGAGATGTCTGTGAGGTGTTATGTTGGTTAGGGTGGGAAACAAGACACTTTTGATGTATCTAAAACTAGTGTTACATTCAACCACCTTAAAAAGAGTAGTCTAATTAAGCTGTCGACTGGACATAAAATTTTGATGGCAGCTGAAATTAGGGTTAGAGATTATTGTAAATGTCATAATTTTTGGAAATATTCTAGTAATAATTGTCTTATTTTTTATAATGTTTTGCAAGAAAAGATTGATAAAGGCATCCTGAAATTTTCAAACAAGGCGAAGGAAACCATGAGAGTAGATGCAGATCCTTTTCCAACTATATTTGTTGGTGTGAATGTTGTAGACTTAAGGAGGGTTGTTAGTAATTGTAACCACCTTATACCTAAAGGAGTTTTGCAGCCGATGACTTAAGGTGGCTATTAAAGTGGAAAGATCTAAATGTAACAAGAATGTTAGGTCAGACCAGTAGAGACTTAGAGGGCAAGGAAGGATCATTGTGACTTCGAACTTCAGGCTAGAAAGGACCAGACCCTACTCTATCACAGTTAGATTTCTAAGAATGGTAAACCACCACTTAGATCACCTTTCAAACGATGGGAGAAAGTTAGTCATCCAAAGTTTCTAGCCTAGAATCCTAGAACCTTGAGGTGCAGACTACAGTGCAAGAGAGTTGAGGAACATAGGTGACAACAACAATAGGTAAATGTTGAGGGTAGTTCATTTTGCAGACCACGTCAACTTGCTAAAAGGAACATGGTGTGGGTGACAAAAGGAAAGAAAAAGGAAGTTGCAACTCAAGCTTTATTTGAAGATAAGGACCAATGTCCATCCTCTTTGAAAGTGGCGTATGTCATCGTGGGTTCAGACGATGTATTGAAAGCAACTTTTGAAGCACAAAAGCAATCTGAAGAATCTTTTGGTGAGTTAAGAGAACATGGCACCATCCATTTTGGGGATATCTTAGTGAATCTATCATGTTTAGTGTTGAGTCTACCCCTTGTCCTCCAAGTGAAAGGTAAGGAGGAATCTGTTGTCTGTGAGCCTCTAAAACAAAATAGAAGAAAAATAATCATGGTTCTAACTCAGAGTGATGAGAAAAAGACTTAGTTGATATAATCGTGTTTGAAAAACCAGAAGAAAAGATGGCCAAACATATTAGGCCACTTTATATTTATGCTTATATGGATGGGACTTCAACTAACCGTATCTTGGTGGATATGGAGCTGCAGTCAATGTCCTTCTAATCTGCATGCTGTATAAAATAGGTAAGTTTCTTGATGATTTAGTGCATACCGATACTACAATTAGTGACTTTATAGGTGGGGTGAATTGTTTAAGAGGTGTGCTACTTGTTGACTTAATGGTGGAAAATAACACACTGATGTTTGCATTTTTCACGGTAGACACTACCACTACTTATAATGCATTTTTAGGGTGTGACTAGATTCATTCAAGTTGGTGTGTCCTTTCTTCACTTCACCAAAAGCTGATTTTTTGGAACGGTGGCAAGGTTGAGTAGTGTTTGTAGATGATAAGCCTTTTTCAACCAATATTCATTTGGTGGAGGCTAGATATTATGAAAAAGATGTTAGGATCATTCAATTTTTTGGGATGGGCAGACATGGAAAACTGATTGGGATAACAGGATGTAGCAAACCAATACTATCAATGCATGTTGTGGAGGAAGTTTGTGATGAGCTTCTTTGACCAACAGCAATAATTCCTTATAGGTCAAAGGGGGAACCAAAAATTGAAGCAATTTAATGAAACAAGCTCATCTGAGAAAAAAAAAGAAAAGAAAAGGCCTTGTTAGAAATAACAAAAAAATTAGCGACCTACTTTACTGAAAAGGCAGTATAAGTGGACAAGTCTAAAATTGTCCATAAAGGTGAAGACGTAAACTAGGATGGCAGAATAACCTTGGAGGAGCTAAAACTTGCCCCAACCAAACTAGATGATTTGAAAGCTAAAGTTCATGACCCACTAAAAGAGATTAATCTTGGGTTTGAAAGTGAGCCAAAGGTAACATTTATTAATGGCTCTCTTGAGTTGTAGACATAAGATCAAATTGTCAAACTTTTTGCATGATTTTAAAGACTATTTTGCTTGGGATAACTCATAAATGCCAAGCATAGATTGGAAGTTGGTGGAACATAAACTACTGATTGTAGAAGGTTTCAGACCATATAAATAGCTGCCCATACACATGTCTGTAAAGGTCATTTTGAAAGTAAAAGAGAATTGAGAGGATTCATTAGGACATGTAGATATGCAGAGTGGTTGGCTAATGTGGTGCTGGTGTTGAAAAAGAATGGAAAGCAAAAAGTTTGTGGTGATTTTAGGAACTTGAATTTAGCTACACCAAAGGATGAGTGTCCAATGCCAATTGTAGACTTGTTGGTTGATGGAATAGCTCTACATAAAATTAGATTTTCATTACAGAAGCATATGTCCCAAAGACAACCTTCTAATGCCTAAGTGTTGTTGGAACATTTGAATGAATTGTGATGCCATTTGGTTTGAAGAATGATGGAGCCACCTACCAAAAAGCTATGAATGCTATTTTCCATGACATGATTAGCAAATTCATGGAAATCTACTCTGATGATGTTGTGGTGAAGTTGCATGAGGAAAAAGACCACCTAGTCCATTCGAGAAAGGCCTTTGAGCGGATGAGGTAGCACGATTTGAAAATGAACCCATTAAAGTGTGTTTTTAGAGTGTTTGCAGGTAATTTCCTTGGGTACTTGGTATAAAGGCATGGTTTGGAGGTTGATAGGAACAAGGATAAGGCTATGATTGAGGCTCAATCACCATAGAACAAGGAGTTATAAAGATTTCTTCGACGCTTCATTTCTAACTTGGCTAGGAAAACTAGAGTTTTTTCTCCTTTGTTGAAGTTTAAGTTTGAGGCAAATTTAAATGGGAAAAACAGCACAGTCTGGGAGGCAAGAGGACTAGAATCCCAAGGAATTGTTTGAACTAGGTTCACACTTTCTTCTATGCATAAATAAATTGGTTCTCTTTTATATATTTTACTTCAAATAAGAGTAAGATCGATCAAGTAGCTATGGTTGGTTGTGGATGTTTGGATGCACCTAGACAGAGTTAGATATGAAAAAGATGGAAATACTTGCTGCAATCATTCTGGGATTTAATAGATTTTACACATGACCTTTTGAGCTCTAAAAGAAATCTTTCAAAATTTAAACACTTGGATTTATTCCCATAAAATCAAATGTTGGGGGGCATTGTTTACACCTAAAACAAATTAAAAGAGAGAAAGACCATGTGTGATTTAGGATTAATTGGGCCACATTTTTTTGTGATGGGCTTAGTTAAGTTTAAAGGTGATTTTGGGCTTAAGTTTTGAATGGATTATGATCAAGTGATTAGAGTCCAAGTGGGATATGCCTTTTAAGGTGGTAATTAGGTAATTGCGGAGAGATCTTAGGAAGATTTGACTAGATTTTATTGGACATTTATTTGGAGTGAACTACCAATTGCCATACAAGAAGGGATTGCAGTTAAATGTGGCCCTCTTCATGTGGGTTTTTGCAGAGGCAGATGCAGGAATCATGGGGAAACCATCTAGCAAGAGAGACAAAGAAAAGAAAGAAAAAAAATCAGTTCTACACACACAGACACATAGCATGCCCTATAGACAAATTGCCTAGTGCGTATGCATTTTCAATTTTCAAACTTTTTCTTCTAGATTTCAGCATAATTTCTAGATAAAAGTGCAAGATATGTTCTTGTTCTTAGTTTTAGTTTAAGTTTTCCATCTTTGTTCATATTTCTCTTCAAAAATTGCAACTTTTATTAATTTTAAGGACTTGGAAGTAATTCAGCCTTGTAAGCGGGTTTAATCCGTTGATTTGGTTAGTTTTTCTTTCTTTTATGGATTTATCTCTATTATTTGTTTATGTAAATAGGTTGAATGCTTTTTGCTTTCTCTTTTGCCTTTCTGCATAGTCGTTAAGCTTATAATTTGTTTAACTTCAATTTTTAGATTAGGATTTAATTTCAAAAGTTTCTAAACTTTAATCAATTCGTAGATTCTCTTTTAGTTTTAGCATTCAAGTAGTTTAGTTATCTTTATTTTAAATCTACAAGTAATTAGTTTAATGGTTATGAATTGCATAGTTAAAACCATTGTTTGCAATGTTACACAATCTGTTATTTGCAAATTTGTTTTTATGGCATGTTATTTTTCTTTATTTATTTCATTTTAGGATAACTACTTAGGGATATTGCATTTAATTTATGATTAGTAGTTTTTTTTACACCGTTGTGGTTTTAAAGTCCCTAAAGGTATTTAAGACAATTAATAACTTATTTTGTAGAACTCCACTCTCTATTTTGCAACATTGTCTGAGGCACAATTTAGTTTATAGACGTTCTTTCAAGCTATTTTTGTGGAGGTCGACTGTTGGAAAAGAGAAGGGTTGTATGAAAAATCTTATTTTCTTACTTTTAGACAAAACAAGTGGCATGCCCTATACCAAACTCATGCCCTATACCCCAACTTGCATGGTTAGGGTCAGCTAAGGATTTTTGAGAAAACAGAAAGCAACAATGCAATTTCAAGTGATAGTAGAAGAAGATATATAACAACAACGGGGATGATAAAACTAGATCGATATACACATACACTTACCTCTATCACATACAACATAAGAATTAAGGTAAGGTAAACTTAGAGACTGTCATGATCATACATCAGCAGGTGGGACTGGGAAATGCTGCAGCTGCAGATTCAACATTATTCTTCTTGGGATGATATTCAGAAATACCCATGTCTTCAAGAATTTGCTTCAGACCCAATACTATTTTTGATTTGCAGTCGCTTCTTTCATCATTATTTTTCCGAAAGTCTTTGTAAGTAACGTAGACACCCATTTTGATCTTGTCTCCATCTTCAAAGTCGTTAGCACGTATGCTGATATCTTTTATCCATTTGTTTTTCTTCATATCCCTGAAATGAAATTAAATAGGGAAGTCACATATCATATATTTATATAAACAAAAAGGTATCTGTTTTGTAGTTCGGACTACACCAGATTGCAAAATAGTGAACACTGGATAGAGAGAGAATCTCATGTTATGCAGTTTAATACAATCTAAATTGCACAACACTTTTTTCTATACTTAAACACAATTCATGAATATTTAAATATATGACAATATGGGAATCAAAGAGAAAATTAATTAATTTACAGGTGACTTACTCGATTATTCTGGCTTTTAGAGCTTCAATCTGCTTTATGGATGTAGAAGCATCAACAAGGAATTTGACATTTTCAGTCTTACCACCAAGAATTTGCTTCAGGAACAAGACAATTTCAGATTTCCTCTTGCATTTTGCATTTTTGCTCCCAATGTGCTTGTAAGTGAGGTAGACACCCATTTTTATCTTGTCTCCATCGTCAAGGCCATTAGCAAGTATGTTGAGGTCTTTTATTTCCCACGAACGTTCCTTTGCATAGCTGAATTTTTATAAGGAAGTCATATTACACAATTAATATTTTTATGCGTTTGAGTCAAATATATTTGTGATATTTATTTGCTACATGATCACTGATCTTTGTGATATTTATTTGCTACATGGGTCAACGATAGGAAATATTTTCGAACGAGACTGTCAAAAACTGAGACGAGAAACCCCTGCAATTAATATTACAATATATAGCTTGACAAAATTGGTAGCCACTAAGATAAAATCCTTCATTTTAATTTAAGGTTAAGATTGTGATGGAAACCCTGCTATTAATATCAGGCAGCTAGCTCTTAATGTGCAAAAAAAATATATTGAAAGGGCAACAAAGAGACTTACTCTTTTATTTTATTCTTCAGATCTTCAATTTCCTCTTTGCAGGGAGAAGCATCAACAACAAATTCTAAGAGTCATCACACAGATGTCTGCGAAAATTGCGAACGAATTTGGTAGCTAAAACAGAATTTGGATAAACAATTTTCTCCTTATCATCCTTATCATCAACAGCATCCACCCTCGAAAATACCGTTGTTTGAATATTGATCTCTTTCACAACCATCTGTGAAACTTCAATTATGTCAAGCATGCAATTGCAAGGTGATATATCTTGGTATAAACCATGCGATAAACTAATATCAAACCATGCATGTGAGTTTTATAATATTAAATGACATGAGAGAGATTCACCTCTTTTCCGTCTTCTATAACACAAAGATCACCAATGTCGAATGGGTGTGTGACAAACACAAATACAATGCCTTCAAATATTTTCTTGCAAGTGTCACCAAACACGAATGTCAGAACAAAAAGCTGAGATAAAATCAAGGCAACTGCTTTCCCTGATAAAAGTTTCAACATAAGTAACCACATAATGCATGTCAGAATAAGAACTATCCCTGTGGCAAGCTTGTCCAACGCTACCATTCCCCTCCTGGTATTTCTTAAAGAACATTCCAGAGATTTGCATTCGCTATAAACAGTCCTCTACAAAACAAAATACACACCATTCAAATTCATGCTCTCAATATATATATGACTAAATGTCGATTAAAACTTACAACATAATAAGAAAGAAAGAAAAAATGCACGCACGTATATATGCAGATTAGAAATATTAATAAGCTCCTCATTCCTCAAATTTAAACTTGCCTACTCAAATCTCAAAATTAAACGGTTATGAGTCAGTATTTATGAAGATAACAGGTATTTGGTCAAACCCAAGATCAACTAGCAACATCAACTAATTACTAGTTTATTGCCCACAAGAAAACAATAATTTTGTTAAGTTTTTACATGGGAGGAATTAATTCAAGTTAATAAAAAAAATTAGAAACAGTCAAGCTAAATTGTCAGTAAATAACTTCGAAATTAAACAGACTATATATGCGTTGTGTGTTTAAAACTTACTAGCCAGTGCTTGAGCTGTCTTCTTTTGATTTTGATACTGTCTGATGTTCCTTCAATAAGTTTTCGTAATTGCAGTGTTTCTCCAATAAGTTGAAACAACATATCAACGTCTTCTGGCTCAATAATCCGGAAGGTTAAGAAGTCCTTCTTTGTAATAGTTAAGTCCCTGAAATGGAGAGATATTGTGAAAACAAACCATAAAGCCAAAAATATAATAAACATTAATTAGATGATAATTAAATATTCTTAACTACCTGTCTTTGATCTTGGAATCTACTGAAATTTGTGAATGAGGAGCCTCTGCATCCCTCTTTCTGGTGCTTCTGTTAAGTTTGAAGTTATGATATCAATAAACAGGTTTGTCAGATGTGATTAAATAAATATTCTTAATGTACCTTTTACCACGCCTGAGGATGTCGAAAATCTTATCACTTGCAGGCTCTACCTCCTTTTCGCAGCTGATATCCGGAAGAATGAGCAGGCTACTATCACTTATGACATCTATAAATAGTTTTATTGAGACAGCTGATAGTTTCCCCTCATTTACCAGATTTATTTCGTCTGCCCAATCAATCCACCAGAGATCATTTCTCCGTTTACCGAAGGATTGGCAGCCTAGGAGACTCTCAATTACATGCTTACAAAACATTGCTTTCAAAATCCTATCAAAGAACACTTTACTTTGGAAAGAATGAGCAAACGACCAAAGTAAAAGATCTTTCGACAGCCATAAACCAGCCCCGATAAAAAGAGAACCGAGAACCCTGGTAATATAGTCCAGGATCTCTCTGGTTTCCTTTGATCTCCTACCTCCATTATCAACACATGCAATTACCAAGACAAGCCAGGCTATAAGAACCAAACCCCACCAAACAAAAAGACGATTCTTCTGCTTCAAACCATAAACAAAACAGTAAATCTTTATTTGATCCTCAAATAATCAGCGAGTAAACAAAAATACAACGTTCACCATCCATTCAGAAATCAATCTACCACCCATTCAGAAATCAATCTACCACAGACAGCAACCGTTAACAATACACACCATTTCCACATTTCAAAATTCCAAATCAAATGGTTTTTCATCTTCTGCACAGTTAAACTAGCAATCAAGCATCCGATAAAGCAAAACAATGCAATCCACTGTAATATCACCCAAACGGTCCACTTCTTAGGGGCAAGAATTTCACAAACATATTTAATCAAGTCATGCCTAAAGTCAAACACATTATCCAGAATATTCTCTAATAAACTTTCCCACTTCTTACTTTCTTCTGGGGTAGCAGAATCGCCCTTGTCCTTGTCTTGGCCTTCTGATTTTGGATTCTTATTAGCAGTTGTCTTTTCCCCCTTCACTGATGTTGGAGGCTCATTTGGTGTTGGACTGCTCTCTGTTGTAATCTCACGATTCTTTGAAGAAGAGTCTGCTTCTGTGGATCCTGTTTCTATGTCCTTGAATAGGTCTGCTCCATACTGGTCCTCTGCCATACCTTTTTCAAGCTTCCAGAGGGAAAACAAAGGGGGTTGGTTTTAAGTTTCTTCTGGTTTCTAGGGTAAAAAAGCAGAAAATAAAAGTGAGATTGGACGTCGCAGAAAAAATGAAGAAGCTTTTGTCAACTAATTACAGAAATAACATATGCAATTTTGATGATAGTAGTAGTGAAAAAGGAGAGCTATTGTAAGAAAAAGAGGCAGCCTGAGCACACGGAATTGTGCCCCTCCTTAGTGGTATAAATAGTGAAGAAAGGGGAGCAGCAACTATAAAATAGAGACGAGTTGAGACGGGCCAAGGTCCCCGCTTGTGTGTACCCTGTCTCTATTTGATGTCTCCATTCTTGTAGTCCTTATTAGGAACTTCGGACTACCCGGGTTTGGAAGTGTACGAGTCTGAGAATATAAATATATATAAAAATATATTATATTAAATTTAAAAAATATATTTCTTAAATTTATAAATTTCTTACAAATATTTTATTTTATTTTTATCAATGTGAAATTTTTTAACTTTTTAACTCCACCACTCCCTCACGTTATTCCTTAGACGTCTACCCCCTTGCTTAAACAGGAATTAATTTTGAAGTACTTTTTTTTAAAGATAATTTTGAAATATTTAAGTACATACGAAATTTACCCAAGCATATTAATTGTTTTTTTATTAATATTCGGTATTTAAAAATTATATTAAATTTTAATTAATTCAAAATTAAATTTTATATAAAAAGAACTTTATTAATATTCATTTTTTTATTATAA